AGACTTTAGATGTTAACCGCATCCATCATGACAGAAAAACCTGCTGCAATTTACACATCATGCCATGAACCTTATGGTGCAGTGGGTTAGTTTAGTCTATTACTCCAACTTTTCTACCTGTTGACCAAAAGCATGAAAAACGTGTTCTATTAATTAGACTGATCTAATTACATGGCATGCAGGGATTTTCTTCTGGGCCAATCTATTTTTGATTTACATCAAGGATAAATTACAGGAGAAAGGATAAAGTACCAAATTTATGCAGTTAATTTCTCTTTCATTTTTCTAAATTATACCTTGAGGACAAGGTAGAGCAACTGCCATACATTACAAAAATAAGTAAAAGATTTCCCTGACTTTAAAAGGCTTCCAATTTAGAAAAAGAAAAAGCTTGTGTTCAGGAGACTGCACGCTGCTGCCTATATCAGCTGCCATGCACTGACATCCTCAAACCATATTAATAATGTCAAGGCTACTTTGTGGTTACAGTGAATTTTACATGTTTACTCTGTTCGGCAGCTACTTGTTTGTACCTGGACAACAGCAAAAATGCATTCTTTACGTTTCTTTTAGAGGATACTACAACAGAGAACCAAACAACAGCTGGCATATACAAGGCTCACATACAGTAGGCACATGCCTTCTTTACATTTACATAATTGTGTGCAGATCTGAGTAATGATTGAATATTTTATATAGTGTGAGTGTAGTTGGAGAACAATTTGAGTAGAGAGAGGCTCACTCAGTCAGTTCACATCATTAGTCACGCATGCACACACACACACATAGTTGATGATAGTTTGAATAACATTTGCACACAATCCAATTTGAATCCAATTTAATATATAATGTATGTTTCGCAATTTACCCACTTCTACTACAGTTTTACTTGTTATGTGCACACAAAAGTAATGATGAGCAAGTTTTTATGTTTTTCCCTACTGTCTTTTCTGGCTCATATCCTCCGTCAGCCTCCCTCACTTAAATCAATCACTGACGTTTTTCTCTTCCTCATTCCCTCCTTCTCTCTCTTTTTCTCTCCACCCCCCCTTCCATCTTTTCACCTCTCAAGAGGTGGAGTGGTTCAGGTCATTTCCATACAATTTTCTTAATGTATGCTGATGATAATAGCCTATCGACCTACTCCTCCACACATACATCTATTTTCCTCCCTCGTTCCCTCCCTCCATCCATCCTCTGTTC